TGTGAATGACTGGACAATATATATATATATATATATATATATATATATATCCATATATCCATATATCCATCGACACTTCTAGATGCATCGGCTGTAACCCGAAGAGCAGACAATTAGAGCTTTCCGGTTGGTATCAAAGATGGCGGAATATAATGCACCTAGGAAATTAGAACATCAAGGACCGTTTAGGGTATTAGTTAAATTGACCATACAATCATTTATACTGAACTTGGCAGGGGGAAAACAACTTGCGTACAAGTATGTTTTCATCGCAATACCATATTGAATCCTTGAGAGAGCTGCAAATTGAGTTATTGCAATTGTAGCTACATATCGATAAAATGGCAGAGATTATGCGCGGGGAGGATGAAAACAACTAATCAAAATAAGCATGGAGTTCCCGCAAAAAAACAAATGCTGTCGAAGCGTTTGAAAATAACGTATGAGACAAGAGATTGAAGTAGCTTTGACCGATGTGCTTTGTGTCTTAGGGTCGGAGGTTAGAACCCCCCTACCATCATCCAAGTTTGGTGGTAGGCTTTGTTGTCGTCTGGCTCAGAACTATGCATAGCCTAGGTGGGAAGGGTTTGTGTCTCGCCAATCCAGGTCCCAAGGTCCAAATCGCCGGTTTCCACGAATGAACATTGGGTTTTTGTGACTATGAAGTCTACTCCCTCGGCTGTTCATCACACAAAAGGTGACCAATAACGAATAGCCAAATGATTTGAAACAAACAAGATGTCAGTTATAGTTCTATATATGATATGCAACAAATCACAAAGACGATGCTATCGATCGAAAAGCGAGCCAATCTAGCAGGAAAACAAGTGCACCACTCGCCATCATCTGGTTGAAACTGTCAGAGGTGAGCAAACGACGTGAAGCGAACGAATTCCTGCTGTGCGATTCGGAATTGACTGATAGGAAGTATGCGTTGCCGAAGTTCCAATATGCTCAATAAATGTTTGCCCAACGGACTGGCCTCAGTCCTAATAGTTTTCCTGGTAAGAAGAACCTAGTAGAGTGACAGAAAGGAAACACCTCCTCAACGGGCAATCATGCTTGGCAGCGGAAGGGTGAGGCATGAAGGAAACCAGGTTTTTAAATGAATAGATGCGGATACTCCCAGTCAATATAATGAACTGGTATTCTAGGCTGTGCAACAGAGGTCAGTGGTCAGTTTCGCAAATCTTTAATGAGTTTTGATTGATGGTTGTCAACCGAAAGAAAACATTACACCCGTTGTGATTTAAACCCCTGCTTGATGTAGTCGATTGTACCAATAAAATCTGTGAATAAAGTCGGATAAACAAACGAAAGGAGAGAAACGGGCAGTTTCCATGAGGAATACCATTGACCACGACAGAATAACAATCGATATGCACGGATGAGTGAATTTGTAAACACTCACCGGAACTGAATCAGATGAGTCAATAGATTCGACGAAAAGTTGTGCCATGTCAAATGAAGTCAATCAACGATAGTTACACTTACTGTGAATGGATCGTACATCCCGGACACACTGGCGCAACTGATATCCGTCGCGAACACCTTTGCGTTTGTTAGCCGCCAGAGGAACCAGGTCTCCAAACAGCCATAGCAAATCCGACCTCGGCGACACTCTTCCACAAGCTGAAAAGCAAAAAAACAGTCGAACAATGTTATGCTGAGGGGAGTGGTTGAACGACTTTGCGCCATATGGTCTGCACTATGCATGAGATAAACAAATGTTTGGGGACAAATTACTTTTTCTTAGTCACAGCAACTACTTTTTCAAGTGTTTACCAAGATAGGCAGTTTGTGTGCAAGGGTAACAGCTTCACATCTTTCTATCGATCATGTTATCTAGCTTAACCCGGTCGGTGCAGCTCCACCAGTTACTTACCTTTTCAATGGATCAGTTGGTGTTACCGCATGAGTCAGATCTGTGAATGATCAGAACAATAGTTGATGGGATATGCACTGGTGATTTGGATGCGAACTTCACCGAAACAAATTGAGTCCAAAAGCCTAATTAGTCATAGCTTTTGTGATCGTTATTATGGGCCCCTATTATGTAATACAAAGATTCGGAAGGACCATCCTTCAGACATCATACTTACGTACAATCTACAGAACATCCAGTTGAGCATATACTCCGGAGCCATCAACAAATTGAGTTTCGTTCTGGTTACTGCTCATTTGAATAAAGCATCGGGCCCTGATGAACTATCACCAGTAGTACTCAAAGCATGTGCGGGTACCCTTTCAGCCCCATTGTCAAAAATATTAAATGACTGTCTCACAAGTGGAAAAATTCCTGATATTTGGAGACTGGC